TATAGTATGGTGGTTGTGTTAGTGATCTGTTAGGTCGATATGATTATTTGTTATATACATGCTAGCATATGATATTTTAGTGCACATGATTGTTTGATTGGTATGGGGGTTGGGTTGGGTTGTTCCTGCTTCGTGGTGTATGCCTACATACCCAAGGCAGACCGGATAGACTACGGGCCCAGGAGGGCACATCGTCAGGTCGAAGGCCCAGCGAGCGGTCTGGATAGGCTAAAGGACGAAAGTTCAAGCTTGAGTTATAGAACTTTGTTATTCTAGAAATGGGATTTGATTGGATTTAGTATTTGGATATTGGAACATTGTGACAACAACTATTGTATTGTTTTGATATGTTGGGATATGCTCGTCACATCAATACTTAATGTGTTCCATATTAACATGTTTAACCTATGAATAATATAATTTTTCTAAAAGGTTATAGTCGTTTATAATTGTAGGAACAATTATGAAGTAAGACTAATATGAATTGGAATGAATGATTCTCACAATTTGAATGTAGTCAAGATGTTGTAACTAAGATTCATAGGTACTTGTTAAAGAATTGGTACTGGACAAACCTGTATCATGATCACATCATGGATCGCGTTTATAAGTGATACTTGATAAAAGGTACTATCTTTGAATCCCTAATACCTGAGATACATAGTGGGATATAAGTGTAGGGAGGGCTACACTTTGATGTGGTTAAACGTTGATCCTTAACCCGATAGATACAAAATCTATTTTCATGTGTAGTGTGAACTATGAAAGAGGCTTGTGTAGTCAAGATGAGATTAATTCCCATTATGTATTGAGATCAATACATATAATGCATGTTACCCAAAGTTGAACACCCAATGAGATTGATTGTGATCCAAGTCTCACGTTTAATACGATGTATGTAATAAAGTGATAATTGATAAACTTGTCGTATACATCAATTGTAGCTTTGAGCTTTTGGGAATTGGATGTTGCTAGACATTCACCACTATCTATATCAATCTATGACAATTCTAGTGCAAGTGGGAGATTAAAAGATGTGTATACCCAAGATTCATTATATAATGATAGTTGGTAATGACATATGATCATATAGTGTCATTTCTTATAACAACTTACTACTAATTGGTTAATTATTAGAGTAACTTTGATTATTAATAAATATCAACACTTGAATTTAATTAGAAAACATTATTTGATGAAAATAATATTTTACCATCATATTGAGAATTATTGTTTATGAGAAATAATAATAAAGATAACCAAACTATTTAATATCAGATGGTATGAATAATAAAGTTATGTACAATATTTTTGGTACTTAAGTAACCATTAAGTTAAGATGTAACTAGCTAGTTAAGATATTTGGTGGTTTATCCTTGCTTGTTGGATACCCTTATAGAGTTTCTCCTACGGAGCTTCATGCATCACTTCATCAACTTCCATCTCCTATGAGAATCAAAGTTTTCAAATATTGTAATACTTTTCCTTCTATGGTTGATTTAATTTTTTCATTCTTTGGAAAATGATCATTGGTGGGTTAAAAAAAAGAGTTTTAAGTTTATTCATATTTTTAGACATTCACTTCTGTTTTCAACGTTTTTTTTTGGGAAACGATTTTGAATAAAACCCAACAAAAATCTTATAAGATTGGATCAAAATGTAATAAAATTAATCAATTCTTAAACTGTTGGGTTAAAGATATATATGTTATATAATCTTGAATCGATCATGTTCAAAGAATTCCCTTCCTCTATTGCAAAAAAATTGAGTTGATCCCAATTTGACCTTATAATGGTCATAGTTATTATCAGTGTTGTAAAACTCACCGAGTTGGCCGAGTACTCGCTACTCGGCCCCTTACTGAGGCGAGTTGCAAAATCCCCAGTACTACCCGATCGGCCCCTTACTAAACTGAGCAATGTTGTAAAACCCGATCAACTCGGTGATTAATATGTATAATATTATTAATGATTTATTATTTAATACACTCAATGTGATTATTACTATATATATATATATATATATATATATATATATATATATATATATATATATATATCTTAAATTTTCAGTAATTATTCACGAAATGAGACCATTATTTGCTTTTCAGTTTTTTGTGTATTCACATATATCTAATTTTGTTATATATATATATATATATATATATATATATATATATATATATATATATATATATATATATATATATATAATGTCGCTAAAAATATTTCTATAGGAACGAAACCAAGAGACCCATCGGTGGGTCACGATGGGTTAGTAATATCTCATACCTGCAATCCTCAGATGAGAAACGGAAGGGACGATTGAACCGCGTCTGACTCCATTGCGGCGTTCGAAAACCCTTCCCGACCGTTCTTCAGCTGTACCGTCTCCGTTGGTCTAGTCGCCGCCACGTCCACCGTGATTTCCAAAATGGGGTTCCGATAACGATCAAATAAGTAGTTGCGATGACGAACTGGAGAGGCTGGGAATGATTTTTGAGACGAATGGGAGGCACAAAGTCGGTGGAAGGGCAGGGATTAATAAGAAATGGGTGGAAGGATCTTGAAGTCAAAGCGTAACCAGGTAACCCAAGGAACAGTACCCGGGTCAGGTACTGTTCCTAAGAATCAATTTCTATAATATATATAATAATTACCGAATCCAAGTACTCCCGAGTACTTGCTACCTGATAGTCGGCCGAGCAGATACCGGGTAATGAGTTCTAGAACCTTGTTTTTTTTTTAAAATCCCAACATGAGGAAGGTCACATTCTATAGTCGTTAATTCTCATATATATATATATATATATATATATATATATATATATATATATATATATATATATATATATTCCGTCATCAATTATTGTTGATTAGCATCGATTTACTGATTGTCATTGTCTCTCGTAATTGGTTAAGGTTTGCTATTAACTTATGGGAAGTCTAATTTAAAGTCTTGAAACTTTAGTCTTATTTATGGAAAGGCCATGACTTTAATCTTTTGAATTAAAAAAAAAAAAAACAAAACAAAAAAAAAAAACAAAAAAAACAAAAACAAAAACGAAAAAACAAAAAGTCAAATATTTTCATAAAATAACAACAATTAATTACATACGTGGGATTTTAGAAAATAATCTTTGATTGACAGATAATCTTCATAAAAATCTCTATATTATGATTTCAGTAACAATAAACTCATATCCTTTTTTAAGAAATTAAGATAGAGATGGTATAGTGCAATTATAGTAAGAAAAAACAGTATTTCAGACATATAAAGCATTACAAGATTACAGTAAGATAATATCATGTACCAGATTGAAATAATATGTTAACATGATACTCAGATAAAACCATCAGTTAGGCAAATACAATATAATAAGACACCAATAAGACAATATCAGTTTTAGAGAGAGAGAGAAGGGGAGAGAGAGAGAGAGAGAGAGAGAGAGGAAGAGAAGAAGAAGAAGAAGATTATCAAAAGAAGATACCACTTGTCACACATTCTTATATATATTAAAGGTGGACACTTTTTATGAATAGTGAACCTGTGTGTTTTTTGGCAAGAATAGCCCATGGATGTGTTGTTTCCGTTTTATTTTTGTACCTGGGTATTTTATGGAAATATTTACATTTTTGTATACACGTGTTGCTCATCGTTTGGTTTATCCGTTTTCGGATCCTTCCCACCGCCTCCTTATCCAATCTCTTCCGATTCCAGCTCTATCCCTTATCCCGTTCCCTCGCCCCATCACCATTCCCTCACCTAATCACATAAGCTTGCTTCCACCGCTTTGTGTTTGTTTCAGTCTTTTGGAGACGATCACTCTCCAGTTCCACTTCTCTCTGCCCTAACCTTCTTTCGGACTCTATAACAGTCATCAGCCACAACCACAAACTCGATACATGACTTTCAGGAACCAAAGGAACGAAAGAAATCTGGTATGTACACGAAGCTTTAAAACATATACTCACTTTCTCTTCTACATCCCGTTTCTTTAGATGAGGTTACGCGCTCCAACAGACATTTTATCTGTGAATTTGGAGTCGAAACCTCCACCATGTATTAGTCTGTCTTAATCTGTGGTTAGAAGTCATCTACTTCAGGTAAGGTCCATCTTCTACTACTAATTTTAGCCCCAGACTGATTGAAGCCTTAAATAAAATTTGTTCTCCTTCCACCTCTTCGATCAACAGTCACCTGCTATCTTCTCGATTGATGATATCATCGGAAACTTCGCCGCCTCCGGCAACGACGTCGACCTCCGGTTGCAGCAGGTAAGTTTTTTTCCCTTCCTGAAAATAGATTCTCATAAATAGATCGATTGTTTTTTCCCCTAAAAATATGGTTCATTTCGTGGTCAAAACTGAGGATTGGACTGCGAGGAAGGCGGCAACAGAGGCGGTGGAGAAGTTGGCTTTGGTGGAGACAAATTAGTTGCTGGAGTTCAAGGCTTCGTGCTTGAAAACATTTGAGGCAAAAAAGATCGATAAGGTTTAATACTAATCTATGAATCAAAATTAAGTGGTAATTATGTGGATTTTCATTGAGTAATAATATTATTTTGTAGCTGAAAGCTGTAAGGGAGACGATGAATCAGATGATGGAAGCTTGGAATTTAATTCCAGATGTACTTGAGCAGGTATCACCAACCCGTTAATCACAATCTTCTAAAGGTATGAAGAACTATTCCTCTAAAATTTGAAATACATATATGCATGGTTCTTGAAAAACTAATACTTAGCAATAAGATCAGATCACCGCATCTCATTCATATATTTTGTTAAATTAAAATTGCGTTCCAGATCGCAGTTCTTTCCACATAAATTCTTAACTTAGGATAAAATTATTTGAAAAAACTCTGATCAGTTAGTAAAAACTTTGTCTAATCTTAGTTCCTACTCACTTGTAATCTATATACTTGTGTTTATGTATGTGATTTTTTGTTGATGATAATAATTATCCGAATTCCCAAAATGATGTAATTTCTTATCTGTGATATGACAGAAGAAGCTGTCAGTTATGTACGATATCCACTAAGAACACCTCAAACTGTTCATAAGTCAACTGGTTCTTCCACCAGCAGTACTACTCGTAGAAATTCATTCGAGAACAGCAATAGGAAAAGTGATCCTGCAATGTTTCGTAAGCTGGATCGGAAGAAGCCAAATGATCAGAAACTAAACAGTGCAGTTTCTCTGCCTCCAATTCTTGTCTCTAACAATGAAGATCATCTTAAGCTTAAACCAATGACGAAACACGTCCTCTTCAATGAAATTTCAGATGAAAAAAAATCACGAATCACTATATCATGAAGAAAGGTCAAGCTCTAAAGTTGCAGAGATCATTGACAGCTACAGTATCAACTTAATCCAACAAGAATCTGAGGACTTATATGTGATTCGCAATCAACTTCTTCAAATCAAAACCCAACAGTCCAATTTATTCGATCTCCTCAAGGTAATTTCAGTTTCATTGTTACTTTAGAATTTAGATTAACCCAACCAATAAACTCTTTCTCATATCTTTGTTGCTCTAACCTAAATTACAGAAATATATTCGGAGCTCACAGAATGGGATATGATCATTGGAGTCTCGTGTACACAGACTCGAGTGAACACTTGATGAAATTTCATTTGATTTGGCAAAGTCAACTAGAAGAATCTCAAATCCTGAAACTACCCTCAGATACTAAAGCCTCTCCCGAATCAGAAGTGTAACTGTTATTCTTGGCTCTGATTTCTGCTTCTCCGGTTCTGAGGTAAATATTTTCATTATCGGCTTCTATGAATTTCTTATATACTTTTCTAATTATAGGTGTTATGATTTTAGTAGTTAGTAGGAGGAAATGATTTCTATAGCTGGTAATTAATCTAATTTGTTGTTGGTTGGGTTGTGCAGGAATTAAACCGAAAACTCAAAGCCTATGAAAGGTGACCGTACCTGTATTAGCAGCTAAACAAACATTTCAGGTTCTGCAGTTTTATAACTCAAAAGTTGATGTTTTTTTGTTCATTATTAATTGAAAGTAGATACTTAATTGCAACATTTGAATGTCGAAACAATTAATGACCATTTTACCCTTTTTTTCTGGAATTAAATTTAAATACAACTGACAATAAAATTAACCCTTAATTCATGTTTTTTTTTCATCATCTAAATGTATGCCTTATTTAACTTTTTTTGGCAGATAAAATTGCGGTCAAAGTCAACTAATTATATTGTTAAACTGATTGCTTTTTCGCTTTCCCACTTAAGGAGACATGGTCAAGACCTCCAATCTTCGCTAACTACAGATATGAACTTTTTGTGAGCCAGTTGAAGATATGTAGGGTTGCGTGGTGCGAAATACAAAATGGATGTCACAACTTTTTAAAATTTATGTTATAAATTGTTGGTAGGAACAATTAAGAGATGAAAAGTTTAAGGCAAAAGAAGAAGATGAAGATTCAGCTCAAGAAATGGCCAGAGTTATACAAAGAATAACCGAGTTACATGATAAGGTAATAATATATATATATATATATATATATATATATATATATATATATATATATATATATATATTGAAAAAAAAAACAAATGAAAACTTTTGCTGATATTCGTCATCTTCCAAATGCTTAAAGGTAGATTTGTATGACTGTTATTGTTGGTTTGGGTTATCGAGATTGCTTTTATTGGTAAGAATTAAAATTTTATTTAATTATATCTTCTTTTTAATGAAAATTGGTCGAATTCAAACAATTATACAGTTTTTATTGTATTAATGTAAGTTATTGTAAGCTTTATTTTTTTAGATTTGGCAATTTATGCGTGGAGTGTCTTAGTGTGACATGGCTTCCTTCCTTTCAATTCAACTTTTGACTATTTAGCCCCTGTTGTGCTTTGGTGGAATTTGACATCTTTGTTGTTGCTACATATATTTTGTAAGTATACCGTGGGTTAGATGATGTTGGTATGTGGTAAGGAAATGCAAACCCTTGTCTTTTTCATTTCATGATTTTCAATAATATTTGTTCTCAACCCTTTGCTTTTTTGTTTCAAGATTTTCATATTTGCTACTTTTAAATAAATACATTACACATTTGCATCGATATTATTTCAAATAGTATAAAAAACTCATTTTTTATAATTTGAACTGATAGGGCTTCAAGTCCAACTTCAACCCCAAAGTTCATGGCAACAAGTATTTCCTTATTCGATCTGTAAGCCCTCAATGTGTTTCTATGGACAATTTTTAGCTTCCAATCAATATGATGATATCTTGAAATATAGTGATAGCAAGATTGCAGGTTAAAACCTAAGTAATGAGAAATAGGGTGATTAGATAAACTTGTAAAGGAGGCGAAACACTCACCAAAAGAGACTCCAACTTCCCAGGTGAGCTTATTGATTATGTCATTTGATTCTTAATGTTGTGAATTTGGATAAGAATAGTGTGTATTTACGTTCTTTTTATGTTCATGTTTTTTTTTTTTCGGGTTTCATTTATCTTCGTGGGTTAAAGGAAAAAAATAAAAAGCATTAGTATCTTTATGTTGTGATTTTTTTTCATTGATTTCAGGGCATTGCTATTTATGAGGTGCAAAGGTTTCAAAGACTAATCAAGGAATCATGGAAGGGTATGTTGATTTTGGTTTTGAAAGATAATGTTGGTAAGTATTCATTATAGATTATATGTGTTGACATTTTTCAAATTTCATTTTTTGAGAGTGCATTGCTCCTTTTGTCTATATAACTACATTGAAATGCAAAACCTCATTTATCACACCAGATTATTCAGGCCTTTTAGCCTCTCTTTTGCCTGCAAACTTTTGTCAAACTGTACATAAACCGGTAAGTCCGTAGCTAATTTTTTTCACTTTTTGGAGCCCATCAAGTTTTCTTTAGGATTGTAGATAACTAAGAAGTCTTGACTGTATTTATTAGTTTTTCAAAGTCCTGATACGTTTTTTTTTCTTTTCTTTTCTCAGGGCTTATGGAATCTAACAAAGTCGATGATTGAACTTATTAGCATAATATAACACACATTGATAAACAAATTGATTCTTTTTTTTTTTTTTGTAGTGACTTTGCTTTTATCAGATACGTGTGTTGTCATTTTATCAAATGTTTTTTGAGCTAGCTAATGTTATACTTAAACAACACTTAATGAGGGAAAACCCATGAAGCATATATTTCGATAAATACCTTATCCGACAACAAAAAAAATTATCCATAATAAAACAATATTACTGTCCCATAAAAATACTCAAATTATAAACAAATAGTTGATCAAATAACATTTACAAAGAACAAACGATGGAAAAAATTATCGCATCCGACCCCCGCAACGCGGGGGCTCCCCACCTAGTTAAAATTATAGCAGGATAATACATAGATAATACACTAAGAGTATATCATATGTCAAACAGAGAAAATACAATAAGATTATAATACAATAATACCGTCTGTCAAATTTATAAAATACATTAATAGTTTAACACTACAAAATTGATAATATCATCGACCAAACATTAAAAATACAACAATATTTTAAAAACACGATACTCTCTGCTAGACATGGATAACACATTAAGACTACCATTAAACTACTATTCTATGTTAGACAAATAATTCGGCACGTTAATATTATATGTTCATTTTCAATCAAAAAGGATGTATCACATTATAATAAGATAATCAAACTTATAGAATACATTAATACAATAAAAATGATAATATGATCGGTGAAACATTAAAAAACAAGATTTTAATAACATATTACCCTCTGTCTCACATAGATATTATATCAAGACCACCACTAAATTACTATTTCATATTAGACGTAGATAATAAGATACAACTATAGTATTTTTCAATTAAAAAGAAATTATTGACTATATCGTTAATTAATCTACTCTAATAAGTGAATGTTGTTTGCCACATGTCACACTCTCATTCAATTTATCAAATGTTATTTTTTAGTTATTTTGAATTACTTTTTTTTTTTCCAAATGTCATTTTATAAATTTTCTATTTTATTAAACACAACAAAATATTTTAATGTAATAATTACAATAAATATAATAATAAATGGATATCAATTTTATTAATGAACTTACCTTTTAATTTCAAAATTGCTAATTAAAGTTTATTAGTTATTTATTTATTTATTTAAATTATTTGTTTAAATTTAAAAGATAAAAAAAATATTTTAATTATAATAATTTATTATTATTATTATTATTGTTATTATTTTTATAAATTCAAAATTCTCGAATATTTTAACTTTTATATTTATTTATTTTTTTAAATTAACCCACATAATATATATGGGTCCCACAAAAAATTCTTAATATATTGAACAAATTTTCATGAATATATTGAAGAAAGATTAACAGATATTTAATCTTCTAAGTTTGAATATTAAAGTCAGTGTCTATATCCTATCCTTAAGAATAAAGATATCAAGTGGGGATAGTTTTTTAATCTATTGTTTTCAATAGAATAATTGGGTTACGATTTAGAGTAAGAAACTAGGATTATATTATTATTATTATTATTATTATTATTATTATTATTATTATTATTATAATTGCTATTATTAAAGTATAAGGTGATGATGATGATATGGTGTTTCTATCAGAAACCAAACATGTGAAATTGAGTAGTTTATTTTTTATTTTAATGTTTTTATTGCTCGGGCAAAACAGATTCATTGTATAATGTTTAATATTTTATGTGTTTTGATACTCTTTTTGTCATAACTCAATTAGGATATCACTTTCAATTGTTAATATATATATATATATATATATATATATATATATATATATATATATATATATATATATATATATATATATATATATATATATATATTAAATAGACATATTGTTTGAATGTTTAACTAAATATCAAATAATCGTTTTAAATATATTGATAAGGGTGTATTAGTAAATTAATAAATAAATTAATTAATTAATTTTAAAATAAAGCTAAAAATTAGTAAAATCTCTCTCTCTCTCTCTCTCTCTCTCTCTCTCTCTCCTTATATCACATGTTTTTTATTCTTTTTATTATGATCCAACGATTTCTTCTTTCTAGCTTCTCCCCAACCATCACTCTTAACGACTCTCCTTTTATCATTCGGATGACATTATCGCTGTGCACCTACTACCATTGTCGCTATTCACGCTGATTTCATCTCTTCTGCATGTAATCTTCTGATTTTTCTCTCCTTTTGTGACATGAAATCATTGATCTATTCTCTCTCTTGATCAACCCTCGAAGTTACAAAAAACCATTGAATCTCAAATTAGTTGGGAGAGATCTGATCATAGATTTAATACCTCTCATTATTTTTTTTTATCGTTGTACGTTTGAGATTAAGAAAAAATGGTGATACCAACTCTTCCTCTTGTGTCGCGATCACAACCCGCTTCTCTTAATATGGATCACAACTCCTTCTCTCTTCTAAATCCTACTTATAGGTTCATTCTCAAAATGATGATGATTGGTGGCTTGATCAGATCGGGATGAAGATGAGTATCAGCGTGTGTTTGTTGTTCTCTTAAAAGGTAGTCATTGGCTAGGTTACAATAGTTGCAATTTTAGAATTTTCTTTTAATATGTGGGTTTCTTTTTGATGTTTGACTTTATTATAGTGTTATTAACGCGATTCTTTTAGGTGTATCTTCCTTCGATTCATCTACAAGCAGAGTTTGAGTTTTTTTCGGCTCCAACTTTGTTTTTTTACATCTCAGTTTCAAGCTAATTACACATATGACCTTTATTATTTAAATTATTTGCAAAAATGGTCCCATTTGGCATTAACATAAATCGTGTGTGTTGGTGGTGTACATTGGGCGTACGTGGTTGAAGGTCAAACCCTAATTTTTAGGTTTTGGACCCTATCTAAACATCCTTAACTCTTAAGACCTTCTTCGTTCACCAGCGTTCATCCCTATTTTCGTATGTAGAAAACCCTAATCCATTATGTGAGCATCCTTGAGCCATTATTATGTGTTTTGGTGTTCTTATAGGAAGGAAAAGGAAATGAGAACATATTGGAAGCTTGAAGCAACCTTGGATCTGGAAGTTTTGCACCCTTCATCATCTCCAGAAGGTATAAAGTTTATACCTTGATTCTTATTTTGTTAGATTTAGCTTGTATGATGCTATTAAGTGCTTTTTTCCCCTAAACATGGTGTTCTTAAGTATAGTATGCTCTAGACAAATGTTTTATCCTTTTTGGACGTTTTATAGTGTCCAGTGTCATAAAAATGTAACCTTTGTCCCTTATTCCCTTCCATGAAAATTGTAGAGAGATTAAGAGCTTAAGACAAGTTAGGGTATTTGTGTTGGGCATTTTCTAGACATGCAAATTCATAAAGATGAAAATTTAATGATTAATCTAGATTTTAGACAAAATGGCTTAGGGGATTAAACACTTATTAGAAAGAGAAGTTGGTTGATGTGTACACCGAGCATACATGACGGTACGATGCACGTACATGGTCAATAGTTTGTATCATGGTAAAGAAGTGTAATATTCCACGTGTACAAGCTGAGTACGTTGGGCGTACTTAGCTGAGTTGACTCGGTTGACTTTTCACTTTGACCAAGATTTTGACCAAGCTTGACCTAAGCATATTTTGGGTATTTTGAGTTGTATTTGAGTTTGGTCATTATTTAGTATTCAAGTGACTCATAGAGCTGATATTCAGAGAAGTGATATGTTCAACTATGTTTGTAAAACTGAGAGGTGAATTTTCCTGACTGTACTTGTAGGTCGAAGGCACCAATGCCAACTCACTAGGTTATGTATCATGGTTTATAGGATGCTGTTATGATATAGTGATATGTTAGATCTGTATCCTGGTATATATGATGTTGTTATGTTGTGGTGATATGTTAGATCTGTATCCTCATATATATAGGATGCTGCTATGTGGTAGTGATCTGTAGATCTGTTTGTTGAATGTTTCCTGTTTATATGTTTATCTGTTGCATGTGTCGACATAGTACAGTTTTGGGTTGACATTTTATTGCTATGTACTTGAGCCAACAGACCGGGGGTAATCCAGTCCGATGGTTGTAGACCCAAGGGTATACTAGTCCAATGACTGATTAGACCCATTGTATAGTAGCATTCCAGTTTGATGGTTGATTGGGATAAAGGTAATTCAGCCTGATGGTTGATTGTGCTAGAGGTAATATAACTCGATGGTTGTAGACCCGAAGGTATTCCAATTCGATGACTGATTGGACCTAGCATGCATGATTGTATATGTTATATATGTTGTGTGTGGTACTTTGGGGGAACTCACTAAGCATTGGATTAGAGTATCGGTTTATTGTTTCAGGTACTTCAAAAGATCTTGGTAAACCAAAGGCATGATCGTGCACATCCTCTCAGGTTTATGATTTTGGATTTGGGATACTCTGATTGTGACTATTTTTTCTGGAAATAATGTTTTGTAAACAATTATGGTCGTTGGATGTTACAGTTTTATCAATGATCTCCTCCATTCTCCCTTACTATCTACTCGATTCCACCATTCCAGGTTGTTCTTTTCATCTTAGAGTAAGTTATTCTTTTTTCTAATCTTGTACATTAACTTTATTTGCAAACAAGCATTCTATTGTATTGGAATTTTTGATAAAATAATATCTACCATCTATCTTGACATGTTGGATTTTTGAATTAATAATAAATAACATTTTTTGAATTCATTTATAATTTGGGATAGGTTTCTCGTATATATACCTAGAAATCAATTTTGTAGTTCTAGAAGATATCAATATTAAGCAAGAAGTGTATGAAAAGGCACAATGTAAAACAATTTGTGAAAAAGTTATGGTTTTTAATAATTCGTATGAAATTGTGCATTATGGATGTTTATAAATTTTGTTCAGGTTTTTAATTGTGTAATTTTCATTGTTTTATGTTAAAATTCTTTTAAGAAAGTTAAATTTCATTCAAATAATTCGGTTTACCAATGTCAAGTTTTTCATATG